TCAATCGCTGTGTTTTACACGTAAACGCATAAATGGCTAAGGTTGTACATTTACTACGTAACCAAGTTATGTTATAACAATTTGTCCCAGTTTTTGTGTGCGCATATTATATTTATATACAATACGTCGCATTCATGAAAGTGAAAGGTATATCAGAAAGGGTAGAAATAAAAAAAAAATACGAAGCGATGTACGAGGGTTGCGATGACAACTATAGAAATACTATTTGTTAGACCGCTGCCTGGTGATAATTTTGCATATCAACATATTTCGACAGATTAAGTCGGTATATTTATATAAATGTTTTAACCTAATCAACTGTGAATAAACAGTATTTTTATCCAAAGAGAATATTGTTGACTAGGGATTAAATCGTAGATTTCCTGATGTTGATGCACGTTTTATTTGAAAAGTTTTATTTACTTGCCACCTATCAATATCAACGTCAAATGAATCAATTCGGCTAAATGTTTACATCTCTAACCCTCACAAGACAGGGACAAAAGTTTATATTAATATAATATAAGATGTTATCTTACTGTGAAATTTCAGATTACGATATCACCTAATCATTATCTATCTGACTATTAAAGCTTAATGCATATTTCTCTCACTTTTTAGGTGAAAGTAGCGATATTCATCATAGTTGTTTGGTTAATTTTGACAAAAAGGAGTTGGAAGACGGCCTATCAGTATGACCCGCATTTTGAAATTCGTGACAAAATACTTTCAAGAAATCTCACAGACTGTTCTTTCAAAGTTGTTTCGAAAAATTATGGTATGTGCAAGGATGTATTTCTCAGTACACATTTGTGTAAGGGATCTCGCACTGGAGGCGAAAAGTTGGACACTGTCATGGGACAGAGCGAAGAAATGGAATATTTTCAATTTGATAAAGGGTTTATGAATTTGGGATGCTCTAAAAAAAATAAACCTGCCATTCCTAATATTGACAAAGAACATGTGTTGTCCAGATTAAAGGAAAGTATTGCTGTAGTCCCTATGGAAATGACGAGAGAAGTTCTAAGTGAGACATCAGCTATTTTTGAAACCGTTGTGATGGTCGAACGGCGAGAGTATGTAAATTTGTTTTACACAATGTGTGAACTATTCAACACGTTTATTGCTTTTGAAATGTTTCATTTGAATGAAAATACAACTTCTGTGTTTCTTATAGACGCCCATCCCGAGGGCGCTCTTGATGCGTTGTGGTACGATATATTCAAACACGTGTATCGATTTGGACATCAAAAAAACAAAACTAATACTATTTTTATTGAAACTCTGATAGTTTCAAACATGGGATGGTTTTCGCCGATAAGAATCCAGCCTGTAAATATTTTATATCTCGACAAATTTCAGCAAAATATCTTGAGTTCGTATGGACTTGACGAGTGTGCCAGCGTTCCCAATTGTGAGAAATTGCGAATCAGATTTCTTGCCAGACATGACCGTATCTATCATCCTCGTAGTAAAGGTATTGGGCGCAGAACATCGAATGAACAGGAATTAATTGAAGTGTTAGAGGACGTGTTTCCATACGATGACATAAAGGCGCTGAATTTTGATAGCATACCATTCTCAAAACAACTGTACGAAATCAGACATACTGATATATTAATCAGTATGCACGGTGCTGCATTGACACATGTGCTGTTTATGCCTCCTTATTCTGCACTGCTAGAAATAAGAATTCCGGGATTTTCTCATGACGCTTTCGAGGCACTGGCGGCAGAAGCTAGGGTATATCACAAAGCAACGTATATAAACGCGTCATCAGATGATATTGAACTGCCTGTTATACAAATTGTCCAAGTTTTAAAGACAATCATCGATAAAATATGCTCACGTGTAACATGGAAGTGATTTCCATTCTACATTATCAGATTGATTATGAGATTTAACTAAAAAAATGCGAGACATTAATAAAAATTGTGAGTGTTATAAACATTATACTCTACGAGCACGAATTTAATAAGTTTTGCAGCTTTACATTATTGGGTAGCAGCTTGTCTTATGGGTATAGGTTATATGATTTAACCATCTTATATATAATTAACATTAGGTAAGATTCGTTATAAAATAATAAGCTTTCACACTCTTTATCAATATATCATGGAATTGTTCAATGACAGAATAAAGAACTGTGTAATGACATATAATCAACAATTACACAGATTGTTTAATTACAAATAATCATAATACAGTGTATAATAAAATATTATATTGTGACTGTTAACATTATATACTTATAATGATCATACTTTAATATGTGTATCTTGTCATATTCTACCACTGATTTCAAATACCTGGCAGGGACCAATGAAATAACTAGGGGTTGTATAACATGAATATATCGAAGATTATGACGTGAATAAAGAGACTGCTTGTCACAGAGCTGTCCAGGAGAGACGCGATATTTGCCAAAACTCAGCGTTGTAGATTATATCAATACATTCGTCAGGGGGAACAGCAATTGGAATTTATTGACATTTTCCATTTATACGAAATTGAAGCCAATTTATAATTGCTTTAAGTGCTCTCTTACAAATAGGAAACTTTTTTTCATAATTCCAAAATTTCAGTTGCTCACACTTAATAATGAATAAATGAAAAAGAAAATCCGCTGGGCAGGAGTCATATAAGTTATAAGTGTTTGTGTTAGACCGCAGGTGTTTGCCCAAATGCCCAAACTGATATCATTAAACATCGTCGCAAAATGATTGTGACACTGTCCGCCCCATACTACATCACATCTCAAATCCCACATTTATTGTCATTCTAATATTCAGCCAATCTGGGCATACTGTTATCGGGAACCACAGGTCAAAGAGTGGTGGCTTGATTATTCCTTTGACAG